ACTTCTTCAATAAATAAGTCGAGTTTTTGTTCAAAAAAATCAGTAGCCATGTGCCATAATGAGTTACCCTAATTTTAAAACAGCTCTTAAATGTGTTTATTTAAGATATCTTTACTGTACAAGTGTAGAATAAGGGGAACGCAATATATTCAATGCGATAGCAATTGTAACGCAACCGGTTCCCTGACGTTTTGCTCCTAATTAATGATGTTCATAGAACTCATCTCAGGTAGGCATTTATTTAAACTTATTGGCAACTGGCTTTTTGAGCATTGGATTTCAAGTACTGGTTCTATTCAAAAATTGTTTCAAATTGTGGTCCTGATGTATGGCTTCCTTTAATGATATGCAATTTATCGATGTATTAAAATAATGCTGGTATCGTCTTAACCAGATTATGCACTGACTGTACCTTAACGGAAGGGATCTTTCTATAAGTCAGTTTAATATATCGTATTTGTAACGTTACGAAGTACCAACTGGAACGATTTCCGGATTATTATTTTTTGCTCAATAAGATTTTTTCGGCGTTTTTTTTACATCGGCTTACTCATCTCAAATTGCCGGGGTAATAGTTTTGTTTGAGTGTTTGCTTCAAAAGGGACTTAAAGGCTGCACGAAAGTTTTTGACTAATTTTATGATGAAATTCATCAGCCAGTCCTAGCCAGTTTACATAATAATCAACATGGCTTTTGGAAAAAATAAGCAGCTGTACAGCTATTTGTCTTTCTGGATAAATTATTTAAATTTAATGCAGAATTGATAAAATTTTTAGCATTACTAAATCTTTATTTTACGAAGGTCTTCGTTAAAGTTGCGCTTGACAGCCTTACACGAAAATTAGATTCTTGTCGAATCAGAGGAAATCTACTATATCTTATTGTCATACTAAACTGACAAGCAGCAATTTGTCAAATTGAGAAACAATAATTAGAGTTTGAGGGCTTTTAACAATTTGCTGAATGATCTTGCTGACAAATTACCGCAAATAGATCTCTAAGGTTATGCATATAACTCCAGAGCAACAGTTCCTTCTCAGGGTGGTCCTAAAATAGCAAAATATTGCCAAGAAATGGATAGGAGAAAACGAACTGACACTTATTATTAAAAAAGAGTTATCTTTTTTGGCAGCAGTGAAGGCACAAAAAGGTCTGGGACTCAAAGTATCCAGCAGTTTTATATAGACTGAAGCCTGCAGTTTCGGTGCTACAATTCGCTAAATTCCCTGTATAAAACTAAGAGAAAAAATACACGAAGCGGTCACTGGTCTACGAAGTTGAATGCGTGCACGGAATCTGTTATCCCCATTGACACTAATGCGTATCAAGCCCGCTGTATTAGCAGAGCAAGCATGGTTAAGCATGGTGCAGTAACTGGAAATCAAGTGAGTACTGGATATGGGATAAGAATACAAAGAAAGATCAAAAGCCCTCGACATTCTCCCTCTCTGCCTCTACGTTGAATTACATGAAATTTTTAATAGGTCTTGCCAACAATAAATACGACTTCAAATTGGCCCTGGACACGTTTGGAAAGGATAACACACAAGACACACGAATTAAGCAGTATAGGATATCTCAAAGTAGATTCTAAAAATAAACTGTAATCAAGACAAAAATTGAAGACTTTTGGTAGATGATATTTTCTATCATGCCGTTAATTTTGTATATAATTTCGACTCTAAGGTTTTCCTTTTTTTTTGGCTAGTTTGCCCATAAAGGTTGTGTAATCAAACGAAATCTAAATCTTTATGTAGATGATGTTTTTTTTGTATTCCTAGAATTTTACTGGAAATTTACCCACACTTTTTTCTTGTTTTCACGATAAGACACGTGGTTTCTTATTTGCGTGAGTAAATTCCTGTAATCGGGAACTAGATTTTTTCTTCGTTACCAAGTGTTCTGAAAAATCGGTAAGAAATTGAAAATGCTTTATTTATGAACTGGAAGTGTCTAGGCTTCTTCCCACTTGGTCTAGAGGCAGCGCGGTTGCAATTCCGTCCTTAAGCTCTTGGGCTTGAGTCCAGGTAAGACCTTATTTTTCCAGTATGTTTAAAATAGATTCTTTTCTCAGTGAATTTTCCGTTTTTCAATTGTCTGCTTACTTTTTGCCGTCTTTGATCCTAGAGCATCATTTTTTTTTGCTAGTGTCAGCGTTTTTTACATCAACTTATTGTGTGATTTTCGTTCGTTTGTTTTTCAGTTAAAAAAAAATTAATCACGCTTTTTTGATGACGTTTTTGTTCAATTTCAATTCAAATTTGTGCGCTAAAAGGAAAGAGAGTTACGCTCAGCGTTGGAGACACTGAAACTGGCGTCACGAAAACGTGAACTTGAGTATTCAAAGACTACTTCACTCTGATTTTCCAGCAAAAATAATTTTGCTTTTTTTCAAGCAAAAAAATTCAATATTCGAAGCGCTGTAACAAACTATTCCAAGATTTGATGAGCGCAGTGAAGACTTGTGTAGGTTGTTGTTTTCTTTCGTTTTTTCAGGAGATATGCAAAGTTTGTTCGCATTGAAATTTGGTTTTTGGCTGTTTTTTTTTGTTAAAAGGAAAGTAAACTCCACTAATGGACAGCCAAATTGTAAGTTTAGCTGACTTCTCGTTTGAAGAGCTATCTTTTTTTTGGAAGCAGTGAAGGCACAAAAAGGTCTGGGACTCAAAGTATCCAGCAGTTTTACATAGACTGAAGCCTGCAGTTTCTGTGCTACAATTCGCTAAATTCCCTGTATAAAACTAAGAGAAAAAATACACGAAGTGGTCACTGGTCTACGAAGTTGAATGCGTACACGGAATATGTTATCCCCATTGGCACTAATGCTTATCAAACCTGCTGTACAAGCAGCGAAAGCTTGGTTAAGAATGGTGCAGTAACTGGAAAGCAAGTGAGTACTGGATATGGGATAAGAATACAAAGAAAGATCAAAAGCCCTCGACATTCTCCCTCTCTGCCTCTACGTTGAATTACATGAAATTTTTATTAGGACTTGCCAGTAATAAATACGACTTCAAATTGGCCCCCGACACGTTTGGAAATGATAACACACAAGAAACATGAATTAAGCAGTACAGGATATCTCAAAGTAGATTCTAAAAATAAACTGTAATCAAGACAAAAATTGAAGACTTTTGGTAGATGATATTTTATATCATGCCGTTAAATTTGTATATAATTTCGACTTTAAGCTTTTCCTCTTTTTTTTTGGCTAGTTTGCCCATAAAGGTTGTGTCATCAAACGAAATCTAAATATTTATGTAGATGATGTTTTTTTTGTATTCCTAGAATTTTACTGGAAATTTACCCACACTTTTTTCTTGTTTTCACGTTAAGACATGTGGTTTCTCATTTCTTATTTGCGTGAGTAAATTCCTGTAATCGGGAACTAGATTTTTTCGTCGTTACCAAGTGTTCTGAAAAATCGGTAAGAAATTGAAAATGCTTTATTTATGAACTGAAAGTGTCTAGGCTTCTTCTCACTTGGTCTAGAGGCAGCGCGGTTGCAATTCCGCCCTTAAGCTCTTGGGCTTGAGTCCAGGTAAGAGCTTATTTTTCCAGTATGTTTAAAATAGATTATTTTCTGATTGAATTTTCCGACTTTCGATTGTCTGCTTACTTTTTGCCGGCTGTGTTCCCAGAGCATCATTTTTTTTGCTAGTATCAGCAGTTTTTACTTCAACTTATTGTGTGATTTTCGTTCGTTTGATTTTCAGTTAAAAAAAATTGATCACGCTTTTTTGATTACGTTTTTTGTTCAATTTCAATTCAAGTTTGTGCGCTAAAAGGAAAGAGTTACGCTTAGCGTTGGAAACACTGAAACTGGAGTCACGAAAACGTGAACTTAAGTATTCAAAGACTACTTCACTTAGATTTTCCAGCAAAAAAATTTTTGCTTCTTTTAAGGCTTGTGTAGGTTGTTGTTTTCTTTTGTTTTTTCAGGAGATATGCAAAGTTTGTTCGCGTTCAAATTTGATTTTTGGCGGTTTGTTCTTTTTTTGTTAAAAGGAAAGTAAACTCCACTAATGGACAGCCAAATTGTAAGCGTAGCTGACTTCTCGTTTGAAATGTGTTTTTTTTTTCAGATTTCACAGCGGAAAAAATTTACAAATTGATATAGTTTTCTTAAAATTTGTCAAAAAAGGTCAATCATCTTTTTTGAATTCGAAAAAGCTTTGTGGCGATGTGTTTTTATTTGAAATTCGAAATTTATATTTGTTTTCACATACTCAGTCAACTTTTTCTATTTCTTTGCGTTCTTTGCAGGGCTTGATGATATATTTTTTTCCCAAATTTTTCGTAGCTCTAGTTTTATTGAAATCGTTTTTCTTTCGGCTAGAAAAGCCTTATACGCTTATATTTTCTTCTTAATTACCCTTTCTTGTTTTTTTTCCAATTCTAGTTGCCCACTGAGACTTGTCTTTGTTGACAGACTCTCCTCAAAATGGAATGGAGGCAAATTTTTATCAACGTTTTGAAAAATTCTTTTACGGTACGTTGTTGCAACTTTCGCTATTTTTTGTTGGCTAGCTTATGCTATGTTTACGATGTATCGCAAGTGGTCCGAAGCTACTCTTTGCCTCCGTTTACATGACATTTTCCAAAGTGTAATTTTCTCGTTTAGAAGATGCTGTTTCAAGTTTTCTTTTTAGTTTCAAATTGTCGATTTAATTCAAATGAGCCATATCCGCTCAGTGTAAATTTATATACATCATGAAAAAATGGACCATTAGCGTTTTAGTTTTGAAGGCTTGTTCCTCTATGTTATGGAATATTGTAGTTTTTTTGGGCCTTTGCAGCTTTGCCTCCATAATACGCTTGGCTCAGCGAAGAGTTTTGAGAACACTCTTGTGGATACCAGTGTGCAAAAAGTGTGATTTCATGCTTTTATTCTTTAAATTTCCGATTCAACTCATATACCTGTTTGATTACGGATGATTACGTAATACGGATGATCTCTCTAACAACAAAAAGTACATAATTTGGTATTTTTCAGAAGCGGCCATGCACATTAAACTCCAGGACGAGTCCCTTGAGATTTCAGTGTTTCTGGACTTCGCCAATTTGGACCAGGCCTTCAAGCAGAGTGAGAGTCTCATGTGTAACTTAGTAGATGTCTCTTCCTGTCTAAACGTGGGAGGGGTAGTCGTGAGTCGCTGTGAAACAGTCGTAAGTATAACGAACGGGGCCTAGGAAATTAGACGACAAGAAATTAGACTAGAAATTAGACGACAAGAAATTGGACGACCGTAAAGAAACGGAAATTACGGACAACCAGTATTTACTCAGCCAAAATTTAATTTAAGTCTTCAAATATATTTCTCGCAATTTGCTCGTTAGTTATTGTCTAAATTGGACAACCAGTATTTACTCAGCCAAAAGATAATTCAAGTCAGTAAACAAATTTCACGCAAGTTATTGTCTAATGTTTTTTCTGATAGTCTTATTTGCTTGTCGTCTAACTTCCTAGACCAGCAAAAAGAGTTAAAGAATTAATTTAAAAAAGCAAATTACTTTTTAGTTGATGAGGCGAGTCACATAAATGTTCAATTTCACCTTAAAACCTTGGTCTTATATAAAAATTGCTGTTTTGATTGCTGTGAAAGTGTTAGGTATTTTGACGAGGATATTTGGTGCAATGTTTGGGTTCTTTAGAGTTTATTTGAAATTTAAAATTGTTCGAAAATAGGGAAAACGATCTGGTCTTTATTGGTCGGTATTTTTTCAAAATTCGTTAATTATGGTGCTGTTTTGTAGGGTATTCACACATTTCGCCCTCACACCTCTTGCCCCTAAAATTGTACATTAAGAAAGCGGCAGTTAATTAACTGTGTAATAAGTTAGGGACGAAACATGCGAGGACGAAATGTGTGAAATTATTAAGGGGGAAATGTGCCACTAGATTGAAGAGAGGCGAAACGTGGGTCGTTTTGATCCCATATGTATTTTGCGCTGATGACAAAATTTTCCAAAAGAACTGCTGGCTGATCGACCTTAAAGCTTTCCTAAAATCGCCTTTGGCGCCAATTTATGCTAGTTTTGAGTGTAGAGAGCGCGCCGAAAAAAGCGATTTTTTGGTTAAAACTTTCAATAAAGTGCCTGAAATTGCTGATATACTTTTTTTTCGAGCAAATGTAGGTCGGTATTTTTCTGAAAATTAATTTTTCACCCTGGCTAGCTCAGTCAAGTAGTGTTTTTCCAAGATTTCTGGTGGGAACAATATTTACCCATTGATCTTTTTTAGAACCAATCCGATTTTCCACCTCTTGAAGCGAATCCAACTTCAACTCAGGAGTCGAGCAGCGAAGAACAAGAAACAACAACCACACCTGATAATGAATCATCAATTCGAGAATCCATGTTAAACATTCTGAATACTGAATCACCAACTAGGGGAACAAAAAGACCTTATGACAACGATTTATGGAGTAGCACAACGTTTAACCACGACACTCAAAGTAGTCATGATGGACTTAATGGATCAAAAATGCACAAACAAGAACCAAACATAGTTCCATTTCACTCAGAAAACTTAATTCCATTCAATTCTATCGAAATTCCAACAAACTCATCAGAAATCACAAGAAATTCTGCCGAAGTAGCGAGCAGCTCAGCAGTTTTGAGAACTACGCCAGTTATTCAAAGAAATACTCAATTTTCCTCAGATGTAGAAATTCCAACAATACCTCAAGTTCCCCGAAAATTAGATTGTCTGAGAAAATCAGAATATTCCAGAAAGGCGGAAATTCCGTTACCCGAAATCGAAGAGCCAAACTGGGATGAGATTTTGGAGAAAAATCCAGGAAAATTGTGTCCAAATTGTAGTTATGTCGCAACAGATAAGTCGTCACTGAAAGTTCACTACAGACTTAAACATATGGGTGGAGCTGGCTTGATAGAAATCTGCAAAATTTGTCATCTGAGAATAAAAACGAAAGGCGGGATGAAAAAACACTACATAAATGTTCACCATTTATCAGAAGCAAATGCGAAACAGTTAACGTGGAACTTGGACGGTAATGGTTCTAGTTTAGAAAACGGAGGTTCCGATCTCTATTCGTGCAATACAGACTACAGCTGTACTGAGATGATTCAACCGAGTATGCCGACTCAAATTGCCAACAATTCGTCGTTTGACGAGAATTCGCTTTCATTGGAAATGGTGGAGCCGAAATGGTTAGATGAGATTAAAAACAACGAGCGCCAGTGTAAATTGTGCGACTACTTTGACGGGTCGGAATATGGCGGGAATATTAAAAAACACTACAGGTTCACTCATGTCCATGAAAAGTCTCAAAAATTTCAAACAAAATAGTGAAACAAAACCAAAAACTTCACAAAAAGGCACATTCCACAGCTTTTTTAAAAAAAAAGAATAAGCAAAAATATTACACAATGTAACAAAAAAATGCAAAAAGAGGAACATGAAATAGAGACCTTAACACTAGCAATATAAGTGTGCAAATTTTGATTGATTATTAGTTTGAGATAGCACTCTCGTCGGGGTCTAACTAAAGGAGAGTTGGGCGAAGTGATGTTAGTTGAATAAGACAACTAGTATTGAGTCCTCGGAATGATTGAAATACGGAATGATGGACTTTTTTGAAATTCAGTAGACACTTTTTAAATAGGTATCATTCTTTCTTTTAAATTTTTAAAGTTTTAACTCAATTGGGTCGTTAATTTGAACGAATTATTTTGAAAAAACGACGTAAATAAGTTATCATTGAACGAAGAACAAAAAATGCTTGTCCGTTAAAGTTGAAATGAAATGAAAATTTCATCAGTACAGTTCAAATTAATTCTCTTTGAAAAAAAGTTTGTGTCACTGAGAAATTGAAAAAACAATTTAAAAATTGTAACAATCAATAAAAAAGGGTATATTCCCATAGGTCCCAATTTTCATAGTTCCCAAAATAAAAATTAGTCGCTTAAGTCCCAAAATTTATCTTCTTGAATTCTGATTGATTCTAATTTGAGCCAACGAATTTATGGAATGATTATTTACAGTTCTAGCAGCATAAACTCAAGCTGCGTAAAAAACTTTTAGCAGCATAAAAAGCGTTGGAACTAAAATTCGCATTTAAAAAATTTTGATTTTTTTTATTGAATTTGAATTATCTGTGAATGAATGTCAAATAGACATCAATCGGTTATAGTTAATCATAGTCGGTTAACAAAAAACTAAAAATTTGAATAAAGTTATCAAATTTAAATTATGATGAAAGAGTGTTAAGTGGACATAAGTATTGCAGGTTGAAACACTTTGATGGTCTGGGTCTAATAGAGACATGCAAAGTGTGTCTGAACAAGATAAGAACGAAAGCGGCCATGAAGAGACACTACATGAAGGTTCATCAGATGGAGGAGACGGATGCGAAGACACTCACCTGGGGCACCACTGGAAACCCAAGAGTGTTTGCAACAAGCGAAGTGGAGTCCTCAGGTCGACCTTACTTGGGGCTCTTTATTTCTTTTTTTAATTTTAGTTTTTTTTAATTGAGTTTCTTTTTTTTCTCCGGTAAATATTGTGTCTAAGTTAGCATTTTTTGGGGCTCTCTAGAAATATAATTGAGATACATAATTTTTAAGCAATGAACGGAAACGTTTAAAGATTTATAGATTTTTCTGTGTAATCGGTATACGAAATAGAATGAAAGGAAGTTTTTTCCATCCAAAAATAAAATGAAACCAAAAAAAAAAATCAGGAGCAGTTTTTTGTCGACTGTTTCTCTTTGTTGATTTTTTGTCGGCTCTTTTGCCGTGTATTGCTCCTCAACTAGTTCTCATAAAAATTGGTCTTGCTGTTTCAATTTACTTTTGCAGCGTTATTAAGATTATTCAACGTTGGTATTTTTATTAATCACCAAAATTTTCTGTTAACAAAGTGAGTTTTGAAATGGAGTTCAGCTGTTCGCTGCATGGATTTTTCTAAAGGCGCCTTTGGCGCTAATATATACTAATAATGAGGGGGAAGCGCGCGCCGAAAAACGCAATTTTTTTTTTCAAAATTTTTAAAAAAGTGCCTAAAAACAGCTTTTTCAGCCTGTTTATTCAAAATTATGCCTGCGGCACAGAAATTTTTTTTTGGCCAAAACAGGGACTTTTTAGTGCTTTGGTCGATCAAAAAAAGGTTGACAAAAATTCGAATTTGAAAATTGTCTTAGTCACTATTTTTCTCTCAAAAAAGTGGTCACCCTGGTTTGGCCAAGCATTCAAGAGCGTGGCAATTTTTGCTTTGATTTCTTGAAAATATTTGGTTTTTCATCCACGGTCAATTTTTTTCGTTCTTGTTTTATTTTGTTTTCTTACCATTTTGTGTCATTTCGTTGATGGCTAGATGGATTTCTGCAAATTCTTTTTCGTTGTTATCTTTTTATAATTAAGATTTAATTTTTTTCGAATTATCCGGTTTTTACAATTTTGGTTTTTTTATTTTCGTCTTAGCTTTAAAGAAACGATAAATAAGGCTTTTGCGGAAATCTTTTGATCGACTTGCACTTAATTCGATTGAAATGAACTCAGATCCTTTTGTCCGATCCTTTCCATCTCTACACAGTGATTGTAGTCTTTTGCTAGCTCGCATATTATGTTCAAATAACTGATATCTCTAAGAATTGCAAAATTTCATATAATTTTGTTTTTTTTTGGTCGACAATTTTTTTTTTGATTTTCTCATTCTACTCGAATAAAAAAAGCGACGTTGAATGAAAGTTTTTTTTCTATCAATGAACCAAAGCAATGGTTTGTCTGATTATAGATTTTTAATTGGAATCCCACAAAATCGAAAATATCGTGAATAATTTGAGTTAGTTTTTTTGAAAAAGTGGCGGTTTGTCAGCTTTTTCTAGATAAAAATTCGGTATATGCAAGTTTCCCAAGTGTTTTGTACCGCAAGTGATTTGAAATTTGAAAAGATGATTTTTGAGATGAACAGCATCTAGTTTTTTTTAGTCATTGATTTAAATCGGCTCAAAATTTTTTTTATATGTGAAAATAGAAGTTTTTTGGCAATTTTCAAAAATGTGTGTGAAATTTTAGTATGGTTTGTACGTGTTATTTGAATTTCATTGAACAAAGTGCTTGAAAATTATTACGTAGTTTAAGGAGCCTCAAGTTGAATCGAATGATAATTATCAGCTTCGATGGTGGTGCGAGATACCTATTCCCTGACTAACTTCACCGCCAATGGAAACGGAGTGGATGTCAATTCGATGGCACTACTATCACCTCCCCCACCAGCGCCAACTTCAAATGGTCATCATTACATGTTAAACAATGAGGAGTCGCAGAGTTCAGTTTCCCAAGTGAATCTGCTGGATTTGACTCAGAATAATGAAAACAGCGAAGGTAAGAAGGAAGGTGTTTTTTATCAAAGCCCAAACGTCCTCTCGAATGATTCACATAGTGTTGTTTTTAGTGAAATTGTGATCATTTTTCATCATCACTTTGAGGATGTTTTTGTCAGAAATTTGAACAACGGTTTTTCGAAAAAAAAAACATTAGAAAGACGTGAACTTTGTGAAGATTTTTAGATAAGACGTGTTGATTTTTTTGTCGTTTTTAAAAGAAATTTGCTCTGATTTTGCTATCTTATTTTTGATTTCTTTTTCAAATTCAATTCATTCGATGCTTGTGCTTGCGAAGTGTAGCTTCATATCTGTTTACAAAGTTTGATAGAAAAAATTTTAAATCGGCTTTTTCGGAATCAGCTCATGCTGTATTTAGTTTCCATCTCTCGTGAGTTTTTTGCCTTTGTAAAAAAGAATTCAAGTTCATCGTTTAAAAATGATTATTAATGAATACTGTTGATTTCGTCAGTTTTTGTTACTCAAGCACTTATGTTTCTCTCAAAACAAAAGATACAAAGATGAAAATTACAGATAAATTTTTGTGTGAAAAACAGGAAAATTCTTACGAGGTGTTGTAAAACTGTTTGTGTTGTAAAAATGTTTGTTTATTACATTTGCTTTAATATGACATGTTATAACAATTTTTTTCTTCTGCAGTCATGAACAACAAGGTTGTTACAGTTATTGCAGACGAGCCGAAGTTCTTGGAGGAGCTGGACCCGAGTGAGAAGAAGTGTCAAATGTGCAATTATGTCGCATCTGCCAGGGGCAGTCTCAAGATACACTACAGACTGAAACACTTCGGGGGCATGGGACTGATCGAGACATGCAAAGGTAAGAAAAAAAAGGAACACATTATTCGTTAAAGATCAGGATTTGAAAGGAAGTGTACATCGATAAGACGAAAATAAGTATTTTTTCACGCTTTAATTTTGAAAAACCGCGGGCTCCACTGAAAAAATACAATCGGATAACTCAGGTTTTACAAAAATGGTGCAATATTTTTAATATGTGGCCATTTAAAAACATAACATTTTAAAAAAGGGTTAAAAGAGAATAATTGCTGTTGTCATAACATATACTAAAATACCGGAGCTTAAGTCTAACGTAAACATAACAATTTCTCAGTTCCGAAAGTTTTCCGAAAGCATTACATTAACAAAATTAAGGAAAAAAATGAATAGTATGCTTAGGAAATAATTTTAATGAAACATGTGTAGTACGTTTTGTTGTATGAGTGCACGTAAAGCGTGAAATTTTTAAATCAAAAAGGTGACAGCAAAAAAGTGAGGATTGTTTCCTAGAACTTGAATATTGAAGTTATACATATTGAATTTTTGACGTACAGCAAAAAACCAATAGTTATCTGAAGCCAACAGTATTAAGAAGTTATTGTGTTTTACGATTACGACCCAAGTTTGTGGTTTTTTATAAAATGAAATTTTTAACCTAAATATTGAACTTGGTCCAAATTAAACTATGCAATGTAAAGATTTTAATTTTTTTTTTCATAATTTTGGAGCCGTTGAATAGAAAAGACCCAAATATTAATCACGAAATGAAATGAAAAAAATAGTAATATTAAAAAAATAATTTTAAAAAATAAGAATATTTAAGTTATTTATATTTTAAATGTAAAATACACTCGTCAATTGTGCCGCCTATACTAATACATTGTCCTTTTTTAAGTGTGTGGAATTCAAGTGAAAACGAAAGGATACATGAAGAAACATTACATGGTCATGCATGCTATCGGAGAGGAAGACGCGAAGCTTATGACATGGGGGAAAATGTAGTACCAGTACCCCCCCCCCCCATTCACATCTGCCGATCTGATCTATTGTAGTTTCTTTATTTCAAATTTTATCGTCTTTTCTCGCTGTTGTACTTGTTGTAGCTCGTCAAAATAGTTAATAACAAAAATTTTATGCTAAAAAATTCAAGAAGTTTTAAGCAAATTTTCGATATTAAAGAGAGGCGTGCCGAATTTTTTTTTAGTTACTTTTCATATTTTAGATACTTTTTAGATATTTTGTTAGCGTAACAGAGTTTTCGATTGTGTGAAACATGAAAATTGTTGAATGTTAAAAAAAAATTCAGTAGTTGAAAAACTGACTTATTATTAACTATTTTCAATTGGCATGTTATAAGTTGCCGTCTCAATTAATAGATTATATTTTATTTTCTCGAGCGATGCAGTAAATGTTACATGACCTCTTAAAAGTTAAACTCAATTGTAGTTCTGTTTACGAACTGATCTCTTCAAAATTCCAGTAGTCGCTTTTGTGAATTATTTCGCTTTTAAAGTTTATTCATTTAATACGATTAGTTTGTAACGTTAAAGAGACGATATTTCGATCTGAAATCCGGCCACTTTAGTACTTAGATTCACTCGATTTAAAATTTGTTTTTTTTCATCCATTTTTGAGCGCTTTAGGACAAAATCTGAAGTTGCGCGGATGCAAAGTTTTGTTCTGGAAAGTGTTTATTCCTCAATTTGTTGACGAATATATTGTAACTTTTCTTGTTAAGATTTGATGAATTTTCTTATACTTGATGATAAAATGTATTAATTGAAGTGGTTAATCACTTAGGATTTTCCATTTTTGTAAAAAAAATTCTGTAGACGAGGTGTTTATTTTTGTTTTTACGAGCTGTTTGAAAGTGCTGCAGAACTTTGTTGCTGCAAGCGAACCTTAAGATACCGTTCAGTTGACTTCTTTTCCAATACAAGTCGACAGTTGTAATGAGACAGTGTTGCTTTGTTTTTTTTTTAATAGATTCAAAAGTTTTTCAAACCATCGATCACATTTTTTTTCTCCTAAAATTCTCTTTTTTTTCGAGTGCATACTTGCATCTGTAGTTTAAATGCATACTTGCATCTGTCTTGTATGTTTATTTTCTGCATTTTGGAAAGGGTAAAATTCTGATTCATATTCTTCTTAAAAAATTGAAAACTTTCATTCTATTTTTTTTACTGTTTGTCCTCAAAGATTTTCATTTTTTGTAACTAATTAAAAAAAAAATGACGATGTTTGATGCTCCTTCCTCCTGAACAGAACCATTTTCAATAAATTCGAATTGTGCCATAAACGTGACCGGGTTTTTAATTTTTCGTGATTTGTTCCCGATTTTCGAGCTACCTGTTCTAATCGACGTCTGGTTTTAGGGTCAATTGTGTGGGCGGGACCTTTAAATCGGTCTTTTAAAAATACTAGGACTGCCCTTTGTAGGCTTTGTTTTTCCTGATTGGTGAGCGATCTTATCGGTTTGCGCGTTCTTAAAGTTTCAAGGTTGTTTGATTTTTCCATTAGAAATGATCGTTTGAGTTTTAACGCGTCGTAAGGTTTGTTTGAAAGAGGCAAATGCGCACCTATCGGAAATTTCTTGAGTTGTTCATCATACTCGTCGTCGCTGCTCTCCAGCGTAATTGTGTCTTGTTGGTTAAGTGGCTCCGGTTGGACTTGGGCGGGTCGTTTTCCCGGATTTGCGTCTGTAGAGGTACACGTTGTACCCTGCGGATTAGCAGTTGTTGTGGCAGTCTCAGTGTCCACAGTTTCCACAGGGGTAAATGTGGGTTCCGGCAACTATTGGTGGTCTTTTTGTTTTTGTGACCCTACTCCTCTAGCATCCGTGCCTTTGTAGACGAGGTCCAACTCATCGTCACTATTATTCTTCCGATGCCACATAGCTTCCGCAGAGAGTGCTGGCTTTGTAAGGACTTTTTCATCTAAACATGATAGCTAAGTGTTTTCCCATGAAAGATTTGAGAGTTTTGGATATGTGCTAATATTCGTTAATGGTGTATTGGGCTGCCGTGCAAATTGGGCCTCAAACGGAGTTTTTTTTGTGGTTGCGTTAGGCGTAATACGAAGTGTCCTAATTAGCTCGGCGACGTCAGACGCAAGTTTATATGGTTTATTGTTTTTGTCGATTTTCATAATTGCTAGTCTTAATTTTAGAGTTCTTATTAGCCGTTCGACCATTCCCATTGCCCTGTGGTCATCCACTGGTGCGAATATTATCCTGATATTATTAGTTTTACAATATATTAAAAACTTTTTGGCCCGAAAACCTTGTGCCTGGTCGCATCTGATGTTACGTGGAACCCCAGGATTTACGATATGATTTTGCATAAATCGGATGATTGTATCGGCTCTGTTGTTTGAAACAACTTTTGCGTATAAGAAACGGGAGAAACGATCTACTCTAACTAAGATATATACTTCTTTATCATTTTCATCCGGTAATGGGCCCGCAAAATCCAGCTGGATTTCTTCGTTCGGCTCCACGACAGCGTCCACTGTCGTATAATGCTTTTTCCCTGATATGACTTAAAGATTCATACCTTTTTCGCGGCAGTTTTTACAATTTTGTGCGGTGGCCACAATATTCCGATGCAAGTAGGGATACCACACTTGTTTAGCCGCTTCAATCATGCCGCCTTGTCCTGGGTGGGTGAGATGTAAGGCGTCCATCATCGTTTGTCGTAACTGTTTTGGGATAACAACCCTATCGTCATATAACAAAATACCGTCCCTAACTGACAATCGGTGACGTACGTTGTAGAAGTAGGGGCCATAGCACTGTTTCACACTGTCCCATTTTTGTTGCTTGATCATGTTTATCAATAGTGAGAAATTCCGGTCACGTCGCGTAGCCGCTACCAAAAATTCAATGTCCAAAACCTTTCTAAGGTTCTTACGGAACAAGGGCGTGTCCTCCTCCTCCACCGTTATTGTCTGGCATTCTGTTGTGGTCGTCTCTTCTGGAAGTGTTTGACAGATAGCATTAACTTTTTCATTCTCGATCCTCCGAAAGGTATAGCTCTCCTCTGATGGGATGACTTGATGAGTAACGTCACTAATAGTAATTTGCGGCGGTGGCGGTTTGTTTAAGTAGTCGTTAAACGTGGCGTAATTAATGGGAGCAAACGTAAGTTGTGTTTGGGAGTCACTGGCATTTTCTGGTAATACGTTTGACGGGGGGCAAGGCCATGCCTTTTTGCAATTACCGGCTCATTTCTGAGTTTTTGCTGTGAGTCAGTGTATTGTTTATATTTGAATGCGATTTCGATTTGTTATAGCGACTGGTTTGAAACAATTGACTTTTAACAGTGATGCAGTTTGTGTGTGAACAGAATTTGAAATTTCAAAGTTCTCGTTCCGGTTGAGCTTTCTGGTGCCTAGATATCCGATTGGATTTTTGTTCAAAGAGTTGTTTTGATTGCTGCTGTCTTGAAATTCTAAGCATGTGACGAAAGCGTCGATTAAAGCGACGACAAATTGTTCGTCCCAATATGCAGGAGGTTGTGGTTTACCGACTGGATGTCGTGAAATGTAATCAATGAGACCCATTTTACTGCCTGCTAGGTGGCGTATATCAAAATCAAACGGAATGAGCCTATCGATCCATCTAGTTAACCGGCTTTGATAGGTTTTATTACCTCTACTACTTTGTAGGGCACCTACCAATGCTTGGTGATCTGTTACTAAAGTGAACCGTCTACCATAGAGGTAATACTTAAAACGTTCGATAGCCCATACTGCGGCTAAGAGCTCGAGCTCATTAACTGAATATTTTTGTTCACACGAATTCAAAAACCGCGATGCGTACGCAATGGTTGCCCAACCATCTGGTCTTTCTTGTTCGAGTGCCGCGCCTAGTCCTTCGTGGCTGGCGTCACAAACAATACGTGTTTCTCTGTTGCTTACGAAATGTCGTAATATTTTGAACCGCCACTAGTATATTACGAAACGCTTTTTCATTTTCCTCCTTCCATACAAAATTAAATTTGTTGGTTGCGGACAGTAGAGGTTGTAACGAAGTACATAATTGAGCCAGATTAGGTATAAACTTGTTCAAATGATAAACAGATCCCACAAAACTTTTGAGTTGTTTAAAAGTTTTTGGGTGGTGTAGGTTTATAGCATCGGTTTTCTTTGGCATAGGAGTTATTCCATATTCTTTAATTACGAAGCCTAGCCACTCCACCTCTTTGCAACCAAATTTACATTTGTCGACGGAGATGGTCATGTTTTCCGAATCTAACTTGTTGAGAACTTTCGTTAGTTTATCTATGTGTTGTCCTTTGGTACCGTGTGAGATAATCAGGATATCATCTAAAAATGCAAACGTGTCTTTTTCATTATTGAGGGTCAGATCAATGGCTTTCTGAAACTTCGCGGGCATATCGGCGAGTCCGTCAAAACCTGTTTGGAACTGGTAGGTTCCGGTAGCCCTACCCCCAATAATACTGAAATTACATTGCGTCCGTGTTGTCTCATCGAGTGGCAGTTGACTATACGCATAACGTAAGTCTAAAGTTGAAAAATACGTGGTCCTCGGTTTGTTTGTTCCTTCCTGAGCCGATTGTGCTATAATATGTAACAAAACCTCGATGTTTGGCTTTTGATATTTGTTTTTATGGATAGATTTGTTGATTTGTTTCGAATCCATTGCCAATTTTTTTGATTGATCTTTCTTTACCGTTATTACAATATGGCTAATGAATTGGTAGTCGCTGCATTTCTCCAGACGGATTATATGACCTTGGTCAATTAGCGATCGAATTTCATTTTCCACTTTCTCTTGAATATGGATGGGAACACGTCTCCCTCGTTGTTGCAACGCCTTGAATTCTTTTAAGAATTGTGTATGAACCATGTGGTTTTGGAGCGCCCTATTCGTGTACAGAGACCAGGGTACGTGGTTTTGACCCACGCCGCTATTTGTGTGTCTGAACAGTCAATACTGTTGAATTGAAAATTAGACTTACCAACTGGTTTTCTCTCCTGGTGCAGTTTTATTCCAATCTGGGGGAGAAGATTGCGTCCCATGATGTTCGCTCGTCTGTCGTCCACCACTATGAATGAAGCTGTTTGAATCGTCCATCCTCCAGATTCTATA